TGGGATGGGATGGGATAGGATAGGATAGGATAGGATAGGATAGGATAGGATAGGATAGGATAGATATAGATGGATAGATGGACAGAGAGATGGACAGACAGATAGATATGGAGATGGATGGATGGATGGATGGATGGATGGATGGATGGATGGATGGATGGATGGATAGATGGAGAGAGAGAGATGGAGATGGAGATGGAGATGGAGATGGATGGACGGACGAACAGACAGACAGACAGATGATAGATATTTGCCTATATCCAAAACAATGCAGATGTTAATATAAGAGACTATTTGTAGCTCAGGGCTGAACTGTGGGTCCCTGATACCTCTGAACTTGGTGATTTTCTTGCAGATATTTCATTACCCAATTAGATAATATCATCAGTGCTAGAAGAGGGTGGGACTTGGGAGGAGCAGGAGGAGGGGGAGGGAGGGGGGGGGAGGAGGAGGAGGAGGAGGAGGAGGAGGAGGAGGAGGAGGAGGAGGAGGAGGAGGAGAGGCAGAGGCAGAAGGAGGAGAAGGAAAACGGTGGGGTCCCTGAAGCTCTCTGAACTTGTTGGCTTTCTTGCAGACATTTCATTACCCAACTAAATAACATCATCAATGCTAGAAGGGAATGGAATTTGTTATCTATTTATATACTAATAGCTTGTCCTGCAATGTTAGCGGGAGTGTTCTCGATGAAACAAACAGCAAACAATGCCAACATCTTCCAACCATTCCTTGAGAAAGATCTCCACACAGATCTCACCTGCTTCGTCCTGCTTCCTTCTCCCAAGGTGACAGGGACATCCAAACGGACGACATGGGGAAGCTCAAAGTCGTTGAGAACTTCATCTTGGAGAGCATGAGATACCAACCTGTGGTGGACCTGGTCATGCGCAAAGCCTTGCAGGACGATGTGATTGATGGCTATCCTGTAAAGGAAGGGACCAACATTATCCTGAACATCGGGCGCATGCATAAACTGGAGTTCTTCCCGAAGCCCAACGAATTCTCCCTTGACAATTTCGAAAAGAGCGTAGGTATTTTCTCTGGCTCTAAAACATCGCTTCGTGTTTTGTTTAGGAAATACAACTCGACACAAACACATTGTGGGTAAGCACTCAGACGCAAGAGAGGGAGGCTCTTTGCTCACACACCGCAGGGAGTCCTTGACTTAGGAAACGCAACTGAGGCCAACATTTCTGTTGCTAAATGAGTCCCTTTGCCCCATGAGTTTTGCCCCATTTTATGAACTTTCTTGACACCCTTGTTTAATGAATCACTACATTTGGGATGTTAGTAACATGGTAGTTAATTGGCTCTGGCTTCCCCAACTGACTTTGTTTGTCCCAAGGTTTCAAAGAGTGATCAAATAACCCCGGGACACTGCAACGTTCATAAATACAAATCTGTTCTGACCCAAACCCTTTCCCAATAAGACAAACAATAACCAAAGGGAACAGAAACCTTTTAATGAGTCTTACGAATCGCCGGTTAAAAGGATGCTGCAAACTAATTAACTTTGATAAGCACAAACCTTGCCGAAACTGTACGAGACTGCCAAGAATCACAGATAAGAAATATTTCACAACCCAAGAGTTTTCAAATACCAATATAAAATACTGTAATGTCCACGAGGCTGAGTTTCAAAGCGTCTTTGCTTCCTGCAAAGAACGTTTGCTTCACAGCTGGCTTTTATCTTCTTGCAGGAGGGGCCGTTACCTTGCAGCCTTACTCCCGAGTGACCCGTGCTGTTGTAACTGCTCTTTCCTGTGAGCAATCCTGCATGTACAGGCACTTGGCACAGGCTCCTCGGGAACCTCTTCATCGCTGCTGCCAGCTCCCACAATCTCTGAAGGCAGCAGTCCACTCCCTAATGGTCCTGGCCCCTCATCTGAGTCCTCGCTCTCCTCAGCCATCCGCACCTGTTGCTAACCACAACAGAATCAGTTGCCAGGCAACTGAATTTTGATCATGTGGCCATGGGAATGCTGCAATGGTCGTAAGTGTGAAAAATGGTCATCAATCATCTTTTTCATCCTGTTGTAACATGGAACCATCATGGGATGAACTGTTGTTAAGTCAAGAATTAGCTACGTCTAATTCTCTGCCTTCTCCACTGATCTCACAAAATGGGGTGGAACTCCATCCCAAAAAGAAAAATATAGGGCCAGGTTGTAAAATTGGGCATGACTCACTTAGCAACTGCCTTGCTTAGCAATGGAAATTTTGGTCCCAGTTGTAGTCGTAATTTGAGGACTACCAATGTTACGTTTTGATGACTCTCCTCATGCAAACTGAGTGGCCTAAAAAGGAAGTGAATAAATGGTTAATAAGCCAGTTTGTGTTTGTTTGTTTTAATGTAGGTCCCCCATCGTTACTTTCAGCCCTTTGGCTTTGGTCCCCGCGGCTGCGTTGGGAAGTTCATTGCGATGGTCATGATGAAAGCCATCCTGGTGACCCTCTTGAGAAGGTGCAGCATCCGGACTCTGAAAGGTGAAGGCCTTAATCACATTCCCAAAAACAATGACTTGTCCCTACATCCCAACGAAAGGCAGCCGCTACTGGAAATGATCTTCACACCAAGAAAATCCCTGGGCAAGAACGAGCGGGATAAATAAAACCTGACCCAAGCTCGGGTGGCCAAGATGATCCCAGCCCTATTGGATCAGTTGGGCAACCCTAATCAAACTCAAAACTCTCACCCACCCAAGGTGCATCGATCTACTCTCCCGATGAAACGTTTCTTGATGGAACTCAATAGTTTGCTCATTCAAGTGGCCCATTGGAAGGACTCAGGTTCAACACGACAGATAATAGGTGTAGTATTGTTAAGAATAATTGTGGTGAGGAGGACCCTAAACATCTTTCGAATTTACTCTGCACATACAGAATTGTGAGATAGAGATTTCATTGTGGAAGAAGCCATGGAGAACTCCAGGTTTCTGCATGTCTACAGAGATGAACTGGGCCATACAGCAGCAGTGGCTGATAGCTCCTGTTGTTATTCTTCCATGCTCGTGTCCATTAGGAAGTAGAAGTGGAGTAGAATGATACAACTTATTCAGAGCAACAGAGCCATGTGGCAGTCTCAAGAAGATGCAGTAAGTATCTCCTTTCTCCATCAAGTCCTCCTGACTCACTGTATGGTACAGCAAAACAGAAAAAGCAAAACTGGGTTATCTTGGTGTCTTCTGATCATAAATGGAGCCTGCGTAGGTTTCAAGGGTAAATTCCCTCCTTTTTGCTTTTTTTTTTAAAAGCTCAAATCGCACAACCATTTGACAAAAGTGGGACCATGAACCAGGTGAATAAGAGCTCGTATCTCCTGTAGCTAGTCTTTTCCAGCCTCCAGTCTCTCGCTATCTCACTTTTAGCTGTTCCAACTTTCTACCCAACACAAAAATGCAACAGCTGATGGACATGCACTAGAACAAAAGCCCAGGATATCCTCTGTAGTTACAGAGGCATTTTTGCATCACCACCTCTGAGCTGAGCATGTCGTGTGAATAACTCTCACCCACCCAAGATGCATCGATCTACTCACTCGATAAAATGATTAGTTGCCTCCAACAGTTTGCTAATTCAAGTGGCCAACTGGTGGAACTCGGGCTCAACACAAAGAATAATGTTTGTACTGTTGATAAACATAATCATGCTCAGGAGGGCCCATAAGCACATTTAGAATTTAGACCATAATTGACCAAACTTTGGTTAAGCTAACCCTGAGGAAGCATCAAATGCAAACATAGGAAATCAGTTATTCCGTATCAGCTGTCTTTGATCTTAGAAAGCTTATACAATTGCATTATGCAAATGTACAAAGCATTTGCACACATGATGTCTTCAGCAACAGTTCATCTTAATCACGCCTGGTTGAAACTTGGCAACCTTGGATATTGGACTTCCATTCCAAAAATTCCCCAGACATGATAGCCACAGCTGTCAATTCTGGGAGTTGGTCCACACTTCTGGAACAAACACAACTTGGGACCGTTGCACAATTAGATGAACTCCATGATTCTTTCCAACTAATGTGATTTGAGAAATCCTTGAAAAGCTATATGTCTCACTAACATCATGGTCAAGAAATAAATAATGACAGTCATAAGAATAGAGAAAAAACCTATGTGCCTGTGTTAGATCACGTTCTCTTTAGTCAAGCATTCTCACCCATGCTGTTCGACTGCAGCATTTGATACTCCAATTTTGAGGTCCCAAATTCAATGTCCTCTAACAGTTCCCAGAATGTCTATCCAAGGAAAGGCACTAATTCTTTGCACTATTATGCTACTGCAAGAGTGAGGAAGTGCTAGGTCTCCAGGTGCACCTCAACCATTTGTTGTAGCAACTTTGGCCTGCATGACTGTTGGTGAGGAACTACAAAACTGAGCTACAATCCATCAAAAATCTAGAAGGCTGCAGATTCCCATCTACAACCCCCAGCCAGTCAAGGAGCCTTAAACGTTTTTAAAAGTTGAGGAAGTAAGGAAGATTAATATTAGCTTAAACTCCAAAAGGGTTTCAAGTCAACTGAAAAAAAAAAAGCAATACAAATGTCATAATGGAAAGAATCACAAACTCATTATTCAAAACTTGACTCCCAACCTGAGTTTTAATAGAGGAGAATATCTGTAGCTCGGGGCTGAACTGTGGGGGGGTCCTTGGTGCTCTCTGAGTTTGGTTGCTTTCTTGCAGTTGTTTCATTACCAAACCTAATCAATCATCTTCCTTTCACGACCCCATAATCCCTTGCAGGGTGGAGACTGGGCCACTGAATGGAGCTAGCAGAATGTTTACTGGCTGGATGCCCTTCCTGTTGTCAATGTGGAGTTTTGTTCAGCAGATACATTCTCATTGTGCCCAGAGAGAGAAGTATCTGTCTCTATCTAGGATCGAACTCGCAGCCTCCTGATTGTGAGGCAAGAGTTCCACCTCTAGGCCACTGCATCACTCAAGTAACCTAATCAATGATGTTCCCTAATTGGGTAATGAAACATCTGCAAGAAAGCAACCGAGCTCAGGGATCCCCAAAGACACCCCACAACCTGAGTTTTGCTTTCTCTCTGTCGCATCTCTGCCTCCTCTTCATTTTCTCTGGCCGCGTATCGGTACTCCGTTGCCTCTTCTTCCACCGAAAAGCTCTGTCATCAAAGTGCAGATCGGCTGTCGTGATTCATGGACTGACTCGCTTGCTCCCCAGAGGAGCAATACAATCAGGGGTTCCTATCACCTTTTGCTCCCACTTTCTCTCTTCCTTGCAGTCATTACTTACTCCACGTCAACACGAACAGGGGGCATTCCCTCTGAAACACATGCAACCCTGAGACTGTTGGGCTATATATTGATTTCAAGCAGCTGTTGCTAAGGTTCATCTGGGATTCCATCTCAGGAGCAATTTTCTAATGCTGGTCCATCATCTCCATGCACCTACATCAGCCCATTTTTGTTTTCCTCACATTCTTTTTGCATGACTGCTTGAGCATGAACCTGGCCTGTGAATAGCTTTCAAGTTTCTAAACGACCAAACCTTGGGTATGTCCGGAAGATATAAAAGGCCAGTAGATGGGCACCTGAGGAAGTGATCTTGAAAAATGGGCTAAAAGGACAGTGTTCCATCTGTTGCCACTCATTCACTGGTCCTCTCAGATGAGCTGTTCTCCAAACGAACATGTGCTTCCTTGACAATTGCTCCTTTTCTGGGCACCACTGAAATGTGGCCCCCTCCATGGCTCAGGACTAGGTTATCCAGAATGCTGTATTGTCCCAAATGAGCACCGTGAATTTAAGACCTCCAGAAGAAGCTGTCTCTTCTTCCTTTCCCGCATCTGAACTCCGAAACAACTTGAGACAAGGTCTCTTCATTTGAGGGAAAGTCCTTTTGTTAAACTTCTTCTTGGGTGATCCAGATCTAAACCTCTCCTCCAGACATTTGGACCCATGAAATGACTAGTTAAGCTGACTGTAAATACCCTGTAGTGCATTTGATGGGTCGTCGGTTTGTTTTCCATGTCTTATTGAATTAACTGACTTTGGATGCTCCTGATTGTAGTTTTGTACTTTGTATTTCACTGGCTGTTGGCCTCCTAGGGCGCATGCTGGGTGGCAACCCAGGGGCACATGCTTTGAAAAAGCAATGTAGATAAACAAATGAATGAATAAATAGATAAAAGGAAAGACGCCTGCTTCTGTAGCCTTATAAATATTGCAAACAGCTAAAACTAAAACGATTGGGTTACTTATCTGTTGCTCAGGGATGGTTCTATGGGTGTGGCTTGGTGGCCGTGGCTTGGTGGGCATGGCAGGGGAAGGATACTGCAAAATCTCCATTCCCTCCCCACCCCACTAACCTGCTTTCCAGCTCCGTTCTCCTGTGTAGGGCAACAGAAGAAGACCCAGCCAATCAGCTGGGACTCGGGAGGCAGAGAATAGATGGGGGTGGGGCCATTCAGAGGTGGGATTGGCCGGTTCTCCGAACTTCTCAAAATTTCCTCTACCAGTTCTGCAGAACCAGTCGGAACCGGTTGAATACCACCTCTGCCTGTTGCTCCGTGGCAAAGAGGAAAGTCCTGCTTAAAAGAGATGCCGAATGTCTATGAGCAGAGGGCAATCAGGACATCCATTTGGGAGAATGTCTACGGTTGTGTAGCAACACCAAAAAGAAATAATTGGACTAAGAGAATATGCAGAAGAGATTCCCTGGTATACAGATGGCAATAGCAAGTTGACCACCTTGAGGCTGGAGATTACTGTCTCCAGGGACAGAAGACCTGGTGATTGCAATCTGACCACCAAAGAAGGCCATATGCCAACGATACAGGAAAGTACCATGTGAAAAACCATTTTACGGTGTTTTATCTGTGGTCTATTACCATCGTCCCATCCACCCCCAAACACATGGCATCCGGAGGCATAAATGCCCTCAGCTGATGTCCACCAGTTGGCTGTGGTCCGGCTGTGCTCACATCAGTTTGAGATGGAACGGGCACACAAAAACCTTGATGTCTCACAGGTCTCTGTCCCTTATTCCAATTACTCAGTGTAACTTCCTAACAGTGAGGATAAATAACCAGTGGAAGAGCTTGACTCCAGAAATCATGGGAGATCCATCACTGGATGTTTTTAAGATGAGTCTAGACTTATCTAAAATTGTATAGGACTAAAAAAAACTCAAGATCTCTTCCAGCTCATTCTATTCTATTTTGTTCTGTTCTGTTCTGTTCTGTTCTATTCTATTCTATTCTATTCTATTCTATTCTAGACCAGTCCAGTACATGCTATTCCATTCCATATTTTCTATTCTATTCTATTCTATTCCATTCCATTCCATTCTTTATTCCATTCCATATTTTATTTTATTTTCTATTATATTCCATTCTAGACTTTATTCCATTCCATATTTTCTATTCTATTCTATTCTATTCTATTCTAATTCCACCCCATTCCATTCTATTCTTTATTCTATTCCATATTTTCTTTTCTATTCTGTTCTATTCTATTCTGTTCTATTCTATTCTATTCTATTCTATTCTATTCTGTTCTGTTCTGTTCTGTTCTGTTCTGTTCTATTCTATTCTATTCTATTCTATTCTATTCCATTCCATTCCATTCCATTCCATTC